AAAGGCCTTGTGCCGCATGACACCCTCGTGGGTGGGTGGCTGAATATCTCAGCAGCCCAGATACTTTCTGAGAGACTGATCGGTTCAACTCTCTGTCTCCAAACGGAGAGGAACCCGAAGGAGGCTACGCCGAAGGGCGAAGTCTCCTTCGGGGAGGTAAAACCGGCCCTGAACCAGTTTATACGGGTTCAAATGGGCTATTTTTTTGGCTGAGCCTAATGGCTCAGGAATGCCCACATTAAAAAAAAGGCCTTGTGCCGCATGACACCCTCGTGGGTGGGTGGCTGAATATCTCAGCAGCCCAGATACTTTCTGAGAGACTGATCGGTTCAACTCTCTGTCTCCGGACGGAGAGGAACCCGAGGGAGGCTACGCCGAACGGCGAAGTCTCCTTCGGGGAGATAAAACCGGCCCTGAACCCGTTTATACGGGTTCAAATGGGCTATTTTTTGGCTGAGCCTAATGGCTCGGGAATGCCCACATTAAAAAAGGCCTTCTGCCGCATGACACCCTCGTGGGTGGGTGGCTGAATATCTCAGCAGCCCAGATACTTTCTGAGAGACTGATCGGTTCAACTCTCTGTCTCCGGACGGAGAGGAACCCGAGGGAGGCTACGCCGAAGGGCGAAGTCTCCTTCGGGGAGATAAAACCGGCCCTGAACCCGTTTATACGGGTTCAAATGGGCTATTTTTTGGCTGAGCCTAATGGCTCGGGAATGCCCACATTAAAAAGGCCTTGTGCCGCATGACACCCTCGTGGGTGGGTGGCTGAATATCTCAGCAGCCCAGATACTTTCTGAGCGACTGATCGGTTCAACTCTCTGTCTCCGGACGGAGAGGAACCCGAGGGAGGCTACGCCGAAGGGCGGAGTCTCCTTCGGGGGAGGTAAAACCGGCCCTGAACCCGTTTATACGGGTTCAAATGGGCTATTTTTTGGCCGAGCCTAATGGCTCGGGAATTCCCACGTTAAAAAGGCCTTGTGCCACATGACACCCTCGTGGGGGTGACTGAATAACGTCAGCAGCCCAGATACTTTCTGAGCGACTGATCGGTTCAACTCTCTGTCTCCGGACGGAGAGGAACCCGAGGGAGGCTACGCCGAAGGGCGAAGTCTCTCTATCGGGGAGATAAAACCGGCCCTGAACCCGTTTATACGGGTTCAAATGGGCTATTTTTTGGCTGAGCCTAATGGCTCGGGAATGCCCACATTAAAAAGGCCTAGTGCCGCATGACACCCTCGTGGGTGGGTGGCTGAATATCTCAGCAATCCAGATACTTTCTGAGCGACTGATCGGTTCAACTCTCTGTCTCCGGACGGAGAGGAACCCGAGGGAGGCTACGCCGAAGGGCGAAGTCTCCTTCGGGGAGGTAAAACCGGCCCTGAACCCGTTTATACGGGTTCAAATGGGCTATTTTTTGGCTGAGCCTAATGGCTCGGGAATGCCCACATTAAAAAGGCCTTGTGCCGCATGACACCCTCGTGGGTGGGTGGCTGAATATCTCAGCAGTCCAGATACTTTCTGAGCGACTGATCGGTTCAACTCTCTGTCTCCGGACAGAGAGGAACCCGAGGGAGGCTACGCCGAAGGGCGAAGTCTCCTTCGGGGAGGTAAAACCGGCCCTGAACCCGTTTATACGGGTTCAAATGGGCTATTTTTGGCTGAGCCTAATGGCTCGGGAATGCCCACATTAAAAAGGCCTTGTGCCGCATGACACCCTCGTGGGTGGGTGGCTGAATATCTCAGCAATCCAGATACTTTCTGAGCGACTGATCGGTTCAACTCTCTGTCTCCGGACGGAGAGGAACCCGAGGGAGGCTACGCCGAAGGGCGAAGTCTCCTTCGGGGAGGTAAAACCGGCCCTGAACCCGTTTATACGGGTTCAAATGGGCTATTTTTTGGCTGAGTCTAATGGCTCGGGAATGCCCACATTAAAAAGGCCTTGTGCCGCATGACACCCTCGTGGGTGGGTGGCTGAATATCTCAGCAATCCAGATACTTTCTGAGCGACTGATCGGTTCAACTCTCTGTCTCCGGACGGAGAGGAACCCGAGGGAGGCTACGCCGAAGGGCGAAGTCTCCTTCGGGAGGTAAAACCGCCCTGAACCCGTTTATACGGGTTCAAATGGGCTATTTTTTGGCTGAGCCTAATGGCTCGGGAATGCCCACATTAAAAAGGCCTTGTGCCGCATGACACCCTCGTGGGTGGGTGGCTGAATATCTCAGCACTCCAGATACTTTCTGAGCGACTGATCGGTTCAACTCTCTGTCTCCGGACGGAGAGGAACCCGAGGGAGGCTACGCCGAAGGGCGAAGTCTCCTTCGGGAGGTAAAACCCGCCCTGAACCCGTTTATACGGGTTCAAATGGGCTATTTTTGGCTGAGCCTAATGGCTCGGGAATGCCCACATTAAAAAGGCCTTGTGCCGCATGACACCCCTCGTGGGTGGGTGGCTGAATATCTCAGCACTCCAGATACTTTCTGAGCGACTGATCGGTTCAACTCTCTGTCTCCGGACGGAGAGGAACCCGAGGGAGGCTACGCCGAAGGGCGAAGTCTCCTTCGGGGAGGTAAAACCGGCCCTGAACCCGTTTATACGGGTTCAAATGGGCTATTTTTTGGCTGAGCCTAATGGCTCGGGAATGCCCACATTAAAAAGGCCTTGTGCCGCATGACACCCTCGTGGGTGGGTGGCTGAATATCTCAGCAGCCCAGATACTTTCTGAGCGACTGATCGGTTCAACTCTCTGTCTCCGGACGGAGAGGAACCCGAGGGAGGCTACGCCGAAGGGCGAAGTCTCCTTCGGGGAGGTAAAACCGGCCCTGAACCCGTTTATACGGGTTCAAATGGGCTATTTTTTTTTAGCTGAGCCTAATGGCTCGGGAATGCCCACATTAAAAAGGCCTTGTGCCGCATGACACCCTCGTGGGTGGGTGGCTGAATATCTCAGCACTCCAGATACTTTCTGAGCGACTGATCGGTTCAACTCTCTGTCTCCGGACAGAGAGGAACCCGAGGGAGGCTACGCCGAAGGGCGATGTCTCCTTCGGGGAGGTAAAACCGGCCCTGAACCCGTTTATACGGGTTCAAATGGGCTATTTTTTGGCTGAGCCTAATGGCTCGGGAATGCCCACATTAAAAAGGCCTTGTGCCGCATGACACCCTCGTGGGTGGGTGGCTGAATATCTCAGCAATCCAGATACTTTCTGAGCGACTGATCGGTTCAACTCTCTGTCTCCGGACGGAGAGGAACCCGAGGGAGGCTACGCCGAAGGGCGAAGTCTCCTTCGGGAGGTAAAACCGGCCCTGAACCCGTTTATACGGGTTCAAATGGGCTATTTTTTGGCTGAGCCTAATGGCTCGGGAATGCCCACATTAAAAGGCCTTGTGCCGCATGACACCCTCGTGGGTGGGTGGCTGAATATCTCAGCAATCCAGATACTTTCTGAGCGACTGATCGGTTCAACTCTCTGTCTCCGGACGGAGAGGAACCCGAGGAGGCTACGCCGAAGGGCGAAGTCTCCTTCGGGGAGGTAAAACCGGCCCTGAACCCGTTTATACGGGTTCAAATGGGCTATTTTTTGGCTGAGCCTAATGGCTCGGGAATGCCCACATTAAAAAGGCCTTGTGCCGCATGACACCCTCGTGGGTGGGTGGCTGAATATCTCAGCAGTCCAGATACTTTCTGAGCGACTGATCGGTTCAACTCTCTGTCTCCGGACAGAGAGGAACCCGAAGGAGGCTACGCCAAAGGGCGAAGTCTCCTTTGGGGAGGTAAAACCGGCCCTGAACCCGTTTATACGGGTTCAAATGGGCTATTTTTTGGCCGAGCCTAATGACTCAGGAATGCCCACATTAAAAAGGCCTTGTGCCACATGACACCCTCGTGGGGGGGTGGCTGAATATCTCAGCAGTCCAGATACTTTCTGAGCGACTGATCGGTTCAACTCTCTGTCTCCGTACGGAGAGGAACCCGAAGGAGGCTACGCCGAAGGGCGAAGTCTCCTTCGGGGAGGTAAAACCGGCCCTGAACCAGTTTATACGGGTTCAAATGGGCTATTTTTTGGCCGAGCCTAATGGCTCGAGAATGCTCACGTTAAAAAGGCCTTGTGCCACATGACACCCTCGTGGTGGGGGTGGCTGAATATCTCAGCAGTCCAGATAAGCTTACCCGGTACATACCATTGGACTATAGACTTTGGATATTGTTTCATACTAACCAACCTTCGTTCTACTAATCACTCTATTGTTAATTGCTTTTATGAATATACCAGTATTTTCCTCTACAACTGTGTTTGTCTTGATTCATACACCGACGCGCGGGAAACTCACAACATCTCAACAATTTCCCAAAGGTATTTACACGTAAGTGGATATAACGAACCTGACAATTGGAACTCGGCACTCGGATTAAAAATTCCGAGCTATTACCGTCCTGGATATAACGATAAACTACATTCGTGTTCTGGGTAAGACGATAAACTACGTCCAACAGCAAGGCCTCTAATTTGGGGGTTTTGAGGAGCGTAGGACCAACTTTTACTTGCTGGTTTTTCCCAGGTCCACCCTGACCCGGGGTGGTAGCACCTGTTACGGTCCCAGCTATGGGCAAGTGGTTAACACACAAACTGGAGTCAAAACACTATGAAAGTTTAAAAATAGGTTTTAATACCAGAAATACTTTGTAGAAAATTATTACCAGCAATTTTTTTCTAAGAAAAACATTATTACCAGCAATACATTTTTACCAGCAATAGATTTTGGAAAAAAATATTACCAGAAATAGACTTTTTGAAGAAGAAAAATTTATCATAAATAGATTTTTGAAGGAAAAAATATAACCAGCAATACATTTTTAAAGGAAAAAAAAAATATTACCAGCAATAAAAATTTTGTCGGCATTAAATATCCCATTGAGGTTGATATGCCGTAAAACAAAACAAACCAAATCAACCAAACGAAACCGGGCTATTATTCATTACACCACCCACACATCCAAGCTTACAGCACCTGGTATTTCCAAGCGATCACCCGTGTAAGTACTGACCAGACTCGACGTTGCTTAACTTCGGTGATCGTATCGTATATGAGGTTTCAAAACTTAAAAAAGAATCTATAAACAGAGACTAAATATTGACAGTTCAACGTGTTTCTTGTTTGTAAGTAGCCAACTTTGAAAAGGGCAAAGGTTGTAGGCATTTGAATTCTTTCTCTTCTGTGTTCCTCACTCTGGTGTTTCGTGTGAATTGCTCTTTATAGTTGCAATAAGCCCCATCTCATCTTACATTGCCAAAATAAATAGTGTAATAGAGCAGGGAAGAGAGCAGAGAGGGCAGAAGTGATTACTTGATTGAAATACCACAGTGCTTCTAGTTAATGATCTGATTGGCGCCGTGACTGTTCATGGCGGATATAATTAGAAAAATGATTTACATAAATTCAATACTAAGAAGTTCAGTAGCAATGGCATATCGGTTCCCTGTTTCTTTCCATTGCTGTGCTGATTAAATAGAAAAGCTTGTTTCTGTCGCACAACTTTTAATTGCTCTTTAATGAAACGAAATAAACAGCTCCTCCATGTCTCATCCTTTACAAAGCTTAGCATGATTTAGCACAAGGCCAAAAGTCCTGGCGAAGTTCCATTTAATAGATTTTACGATATATTCACCTTTTGTCGATATTTGTTGTCCTCGTCTTTATTGTCATATTCGCAATAGCAGAGGTTAACAAAAACTTGGAGAGTTGAGTCACTAAAAGAAAACAACTGAAACTGAGATATCAGGAAAGGCATGGCACGTAGAACTACGCAAGTGGACAAAATAAAGGGTTCGATACGAACTTCCAGCGTATATCACCTGAAGAAGACCGTAAAGTACAACGACCGAAACGCTGTGAATATGACAATAAAGATGAATAAAACAGTCCGAACAATGTAAATTTACCTTTGTTCGGTTATTTAATATCATAATCTACTTTTTAATTATAATAAGGTCTATAGTCAAGTATCGGCCGTGTGTATCGTTAAGTTATTAGTTAATTTAATATTAGTTGGTTTGTACTTGTGTTTTTGGTCAACCATTGGTCGTGTTTAGAAGTATGCCTACTGGTAAACGATGGTCGTTTTTATACTTGAGCCTATATGTAAACGCTGGTTGGGCTTATACTTGAGTCAATACGTAATCACTGGTCTACTTAATACTTGAATTAATAAGTCTGGTTTGTAATTGACTCTTTAGGTTAGCATTGGTTACGTTTATGCTTACGCCTGTATGTTAACATTCGTCTGGTTTGTACTCATTTGTCTATAGGAAAACAGTAACTGTATTTATTATTGATTCACAAGGTAAATTTTAGTTGTATTTATAGCTGAGTCAATAGGCAAACCTTAGTCGTATTTATACTTTATGAGTAAATAATAATCGTGTTTATCCTTGAGTCAATAGTTAAATATTGTCCGAATTTACACTTGAGTTTTTGAGGAGCTGCATTCGCTGGTTCCCAGACTTCATGAGCTCAATCGCCCTACGAGGCTTGCATCCCACTCTCACCCTTTCACTGTCGAAACTCCTAAATGTAGCCGTCTCTTCTACTCCAATAGCTTCATATCTCGCACCTCTCGCTTGTGGAACTCCCTTCCCTATTCTAGTTTCCTTGAGAGCTATAATCTCCAGCTATTCAAATGTAATGTCAATCGACATGTCCAGTTGCCTTGATCTATCCACTATCCTTCTCCTCATCCTTTCCTCTATCACTCCTATCTGATCTTGCTCCAAGTCTTCTGTAACCTCTTGCGCCCTAGTGGCTTCCCGCCTTGCTTGGGGTGAAAAGCTTAAAAAAAAAAAAGTTAATGATTATCGTATTACACTCTACCAAAGGGTCTTAAGAACAACATGGACGATACACGTAAGCAACAAGGATTTTTTTAAGAAAAATTGAAACAAAATAACGCTTATTCGTAACATCAGAAAGAGACACTTGAAATTTCAAGGGCACATAATGATGAAGACTAGGAAAGATTTATTATGAAGTCAAGAAGGGGTTGAGAGAAACAACAAGTAAACAAACGAACGAATTTGTGTGAATGACTGGCAAAGCGATGACCGGGAAACAAAGGCCAGATGAGAAAAAAATATATTCTCGCCATCAGTCAGTTATGGGCCATGCATTATATACGCTTAGGCGATCATGTATCTTTCGATACATGACTGGCGAGGCAGATTTTTTTTCAGCAGTAGGTTGCCATTTCTTTCTGCGGTAGGCTAGTTGCCATCCAAGGCTATAGATCCCGTCTGTCCTACTATTTACCCATAGCTGTGGGGAGAGGAGGAGGATTCACACCTTTCCCAATGGTATTAGCACGTAAGTGATTGTAATGGATTCGACTGGAATTCGAACTCGGCACTCCGATTCCTCAATCCGAGCCATTACTCCACCGCCTCAGTGTCGCATAATGCTGTAGATTTGGGCTGAGAAGCGGTGAATGAATCTTTTGGCGAAATCCCCTCTCACCAAATTAATTTACCTGCCATTTGCAGCAAAAACCATTATTTATGTTAGGAACGTAGTGACGTTAGTCATTCTTTAAATCCAATACCTGTATCTCTATTCTTATGTTTATTATTGTAAAGCGACGTTTTTTTTTTTACGTGTATCTTTGCCTTAACAATAAACGCACATTTAAACGGATCTTTATTATATGCACAACGAAATCTTATGCGGATATAGTCAGAGAAAAGAACGCGATCCAGAGGAAATTATTTTTTTGTGTGTTTTGTTTTTTTTTTTGTTGTTTTTTTCAAAGCTTCTCCTTTTATTTCAATTGAAAAAAATATCTTTTATCCTCACCAATAGAAAAGATACATTGTCAAATACCCAGGAAAACAAATTTTGGGATATTGTAACAAAGGTCAATCTAAAACATAGAACATTGTAATGAAATTAATCTATTGTTATTTTTGTAAACTTTAATGGATTTGCGATGTCAGGTCAAATAAAAGTGTTTCTAAAACACAAAGCGCTTTAAATAAACTGAATGAGATGAACAAATATAGAATACTGAGTGGTTCATCGTGGTTAGCCACCTAAATTTTTAGATCATTAATAGTGAGTTCAATTCTGAGTGGATACTCCATATATTTGATAAGTGCAAAATTTAAGCTGCCATTTATAAAAGAAATACTCATCTGTAATGTCAATATTCTCGTTACGCGTATATTTATTAGTACCTTCTTTGTTTAGCTTTTGACGAGTTTTTCTTTCATTTCGTTCATGCTGATTTTCATCTTAATGAATTATTAACGAGTTTGTTTCACAAAGTAACAGTAATGGAGAAGAAGCTGTCTGAGTAGAACGCCCGTTTTTTTTACCAAAGGGACATGAATGGAATAAAGGTGGTTTGCTACCATGAACACGCCATGTCAGGTTCTAGTCGTGAAGGCCCGAGCTGGTAGAAGTAAGGGATGGAAGTAAGTAATAGCGATATAGCAGTGAAAGGCTGACGCCGTTTCGTCTGTGTGGATAAAGGTTTTCGTTACCCAGACGACCACATAAGCGCTTTTTGACTTTGTCTAGTCTGGACAGTGATATACCTTAATTACTGTTTACTATTGAAAGTACTAGGATATAATGAAAGAATAAGCTTTTATCACATATATAATTGTATTTTTTGTATAATGGTGGTCAAATTATAGTTTTAAATTATTCTCTCTGTCTCTCTCTCTCTATATATATATATATATATATATATATATATATATATATATATATATATATATATATATATATATGATAATATTTTTTTTTTAAAATATGATTCCTTCATAAGAGTTCTCATATTTCAAAACGAGAGCCGAAACCATCCAAATAATTATTAAAATTAAAGTTGAATTGAGGTGTTTAGTCCCGTTTCATCTTCAAGTGAAATTTTAGGCTAAAGTTTTAGATCGTTAGTAGTTTCGGCTCTCGTTTTTGAAACATGAGTACGCTTATGTAGCGAAGGAATCATATTTTTAAACCCAAAAATATTATTATAATAAAGCTCTACTTCTGTATGGAGCACTGTCTTCTTAAAAATAAATACAAAAATACTAAGGAACTCCGGATTATGCACCCAACGTGTTCTTTTCTATTTTCCGCATACCTGCGCACTTATACTTATACTTATATATATATATATATATATATATATATATGCGTAAAATTGTTCAGTATCAGGGATAAAGTGTTTGTAAATATAAAAGTGGACACTGAGGTCAACACATATTTGTGCTGGTCTGTTTCATGCTTGAACGATGGCTTGAAGATTGCGTTAAAACATGTAACAGACTGTCACCGCTTGTTGTTAACCTCAGTGTCCACTTATATATATATATATATATATATATATATATATATATATATATATATATATATATATATATATATGAATAAAATAGACAATAGGAAAATAGTACTTAGTCCTTGCCGACGCATTTCGTCATTCGAATTTATGAAGGGAAGCGATGATAAACAAAATCGAAATGTTGTGTAGTTACATGAAAAAGTTTTAAAAAACGCTCCTGGATATTAGTAACTTTTTCTTTTCTTTTTTTAAACCAAAGTTACTAATATGAATAAAGAGGATTACACCGGAGCGACTTTTAAAATTAAATTGTCTATTTTATTAAATTTTTCTTTTCTACAGATATATTCTCAGAGCTTTCACACACACACACACACACACACACACATATATATATATGTATATATATATATATATATATATGAAGAAAAATATACAGAAAAAACAAACAAAAATCTTAATATGCAATTATGCTGTATTAATGTTAATATAAAGTCAACGTGGACGTTTCGGTCTACTTTAGACCATCTTCATAGACATTTTCATTTAAACATAATTAACATTAGCACATATAAAAATTCAACACGAAAAGACGATGGACATAATGGATATATATATAATTGTATGTGTGTATGTGAAAATATTATGTCCATATTATGTAAATTATGTAAAAGCATTTGATAAGCTACGATACAAAATGCCCTTTAAATTGTTAGTTAATCTCGATCTATATGTGAAAGATA